GTTGCATGATATATTGTTATATGTAGATTCCAAATCCTTCTATTATCTGTTACATATTTTTAATAGTTTTGATACGTCTGCCTTACTGCCTTTAACACATTACGCAACTGCACCACTAGTAAAAGTCATCAGATACCCTTTTATTATGATTTACATAACAGCTTCTTTACATACTGCCACTATAAAAAGCTTTTAAACAAGTAAATGCTGACTTAAACAGATGGACACAATTATTCCAGTTTTCTTATGTCTCCAATTTTAATGTGCTTCCTCACTTTTTTTCTTATAATATAAGAATGATTACAAATGGGAGGACATTTAAGTACAATATATTTGGTCCACCCTGTCCAGGTAGGCTCCAGCTTTCTGCGACACCGTATGGTATAAAGCCGTTCGGCAAATGACATGACATATTTGGCTCATCTAGAAAATCTGGCATTAGTACTGTATACAATTGATTTTCTGATCTCATCTAACCATTTCTTGAAAGAAGACAGGATAACTTCATCTTCAATAACATGCCCACGTATCTTTTAACCCTACAATTCCTCTTTCATTTTTTCCCCACAATTCCTCATTCTCCTAGTAAAGGGAGCTGGGATAACGGTTATGTTTGAATTTCCAGGTTGATATGAAAAGGAAAGCAGCCACATGTTCAATTATCCTGTCTTCAGCATAAAAGATATGCTGGGGGGCTCAACTCTGCCAACTTTCTTCAGAAGGAGATCCAACCCTAATTTTACAGAGGTCAGAAGGGATTCTTTCTTAGCCATTGCATTTACAAATATTTACAAAAAAGAATTACCATTCATAATATTGCAGCAATCCCTTATGTTGCCTAACTGTGTGGGCGAGTGAGGAAGGTGGACTGGAAAGCAGAATGCAAACTCACCATGTACTATCGTCTTTTAATGGTTAATAGGTGTGTGTGCTAATCACAGAGTAGAGAGGGGGTAGAGAGCAAGAGACAAGATAGTGTAGCAGCAGCTAAAAGTGCTTGAGGCAGAGAAAAGAAACTGCCATTTTTATACAGGGGGGAGAAATGAAATAACAATGAGTGGGAAATGTTGAAAACCCTATAATTAGAATAATAAAAATCCAAATATAACACACAGTCAAAGCATAAAGATTCAACATTGGGCAGAGGGATTTACCCTATAGCTAATTTATAAATATTGTACAGTACATTTAATTACACTATAATGTAGTTTTCAATAATGAAACACAAATAAAATGCAGAGAAAAATAATACAATCACTTAGGTTTTCCTCTGACATGATTACAATACAGGGCTATTCACAATTTTCCTGAAGAAAGCACAAGACAATATGAAGAGGTACACATACTCTATACTACTTATCCACAGAAGAAATGTATCATTCTACAATAGTTGCACTTTTGGAACTAATGTAAACTTTCTGTTCCTCAAAAAGTTAATCGTGGGACACATGGGAGTTTTTAAGTACAGGATCTAGAACAGATTTACTGTACATAACCCAGAGAGAGGCAGTACAGTGAAAATTGTCTTAACCTGATGGCCATAGGACAAGGACCATGCAAAGCAAGGAGTTAACTAAGGGGAGATGGGGGTTGCCTATCACTTAGATACTGTGACACTTTTCTGGACACTCCACTCAAAGCGCCATACAGGTGATGAGGACTCCCTTCCACCACCACCAATGTGCAGCATCCACCTGGATGATGCAATGGCAGCCATAGTGTGCCAGTACACTCACCATACATCAGCTATCAGTGGGGAGGAGAACAGAGTGATGAAGCCAATTCAGAGATGGGGATTATTAGGAGGCCATGATCGTTAAAGGCCAACGGGAAATTTGGCCAGGATGCTGGGGTAACACCCCTACTTGAATTTCTAATGACCACAGAGAGTCAGGACCTCGGTTTTACGTCTCATCCGAAGGACGACACCTTTTTACAGTATAGTGTCCCCCTCCCTATACTGGGTCATTAGGACTCACACAGGCTGCAGGGTGAGCAAACCCTACTGGCCCCACTAACACTACTTCCAGCAGCTACCTTAGTTTTTTCCAGTAGGTCTCCCATCTAGGTATTGGCCAGGCTCACACCTTCTAAGTTTCAGTGGGTTGTCAATTGTGAGCTGCAGGGTGATATGGCTGCTGGCCCAAAGGACAATAAGCCCATATGAGCTTTTAACCCTGCCGATCTGCCTTTCCCTTCCCCCATTCACCAACAAGCTTAGATAAGGAAAAAAGGGGCAGCTGCTAAAGCACTTAATATATTAATATATTTTCAGTTTTTCTTCTCTTAACTTTTTGCTGACATTTACTGAAACCTCATATTCTTACAGAAAGATAAGGGCATCTTAATCTTATATATATTAGATTTAAATAAATGTGTAAGCTGCATTTAATAATTTCACAAAATTGAACACCATAGGAAGAGTCTATATACTTTTGCAAGGCGCTGTTATTAAGACTTGGCATTCTGTATGAAGATATACAAAATATCCTCTAAGACATTCTTTACTAATTTGTGCCTCATAATTATGCAATTATAATATGGTGTTTGCTTGGAAAAATGTATATATTCACTGAGGACTTTCTGGCTTTCTTTATCTCCAGTTTTATACAGGAATATGCTCCTTGCAATTACATTTCCTTGCTTCTACCTTTATTTGGAGTGATAAAGGAATTCATTTTCCATCAGATATTTATTATGAGTATAGATTTGACTTACAAACTCAACTGTGAGTTACTCTGCTCTTCTTATTTTTTTCCTGTATGTCTCATTTCTCCAATGTGCTCCTATTTCTGGCTGGTGAATATCAGAAGAAATTAATAAAAAAAAACAGAAAGAAATCTTGTGTTTCAGGCACCTTTTCTGCTCAGCCTACAAAACGTTGCACTTTTTCATATAATAGACACAGCGGAACCGACGTTAAAATATGCCGCCAGTCAGCTATAAATGCTGAGCAGCAATGGGAGCTTGGCAAGGCACAGTTTTAGCAGTCATCGGCTTTCTTTTGCTCCCTGGAGGTCAACCTCGGAAATGACTGCTGCGCTGAATAATTACTGGACCTTGTTTGCGTTGCCTGTGGTAGTCTGCTGAGTCTCCACAGCTAGACAGTTATTTTCTCTTTCTCCTCCCAGGCAAAATCTGGACTCATGGGTTGCAAGAAGCCCAGCTAATAGCATGCAGTGGGATACAGAGCTGGTCCCACACCTACTGGTGCCCGCGGCTATGTAAGTAATTTTCGGCAGACTTGGCAAAAGGGATTAACGCCCTCTGCAAACAAGTTTCTGACAATCCTTTGCTCTGGCTCAGAACCTCATTGTAATAGATAGCAGAACTAAACTGCTCCTGGAAACTCAGTTAAGATGTTTCATTTTCTCTTGATCTGCTTTAATCACAGCCTTTCTTTTAAAGACAATGACATATTCTGCACAGCTACTATCATCTCTTTGCAATGTTCTTTATTTAAAAAAAGTGTATTAAACACAAAATAGCATATTGATAATACTTTAAATAAAAATAGAACTCACAGGAGCAAAAGAGGAATAAAAACACCATAATGAGTGACAATAACCAGATGGATAGAGAAAACATCCTGACACACACACACACCATTTGTTTCTTTTTTTCTATTTAGAATCAGTTATGTTTTCATCAGTAACCAACGACATGTATGCTGTTTTGTTTTCATTCTTCTCTTTACATAACTAATTGAGAAAAACACATCAGAACTGGCACCACTTAAATGACACAATTTTTAATCAATTTTGCCAAATGATTTTACAGTAGACAGTGTAATTTCTGATCACAAAACCCACTGCCTTCTCTGAGATGAATTCCACAATATGCAAAGCTACCTCTTTAATTGAACAAGATCTAGAAAGGTGATCACATTTGCTTGTCCCTACCTTTATGCATAGGTCACGTCAAGTACATTTTCCTACTGTATGTTTTGTTTTTAAAACTATCATAGCATGACTGCTTGATTTACTCTGGCATGGCAAAATCAGGTATTTCCTTGAAGCTACTGTATGCATGAGGAAATATTGTGAGGAATTGAATCCATCTTAAGCTAGTGATGCTTCACTATAGAGCTTCAGAACACAACTCAGACTCCTCTCATCTCTAAACTTCCTTGCATACCATCCTTCCTTCGCTTTTGCTAAAACAGGTAGTAGGTTGCAATGTTGCAATATTGGCAGTGAGAGAATAAGCCGGCTGAATAGTTTGGTGGGGAGGTATACACTGCACAGTAATGAATATAGACTGGTACCCTGTGTTAATCTGCTACTCTAATTAAGACCATTTCAGAACCCTACCTCTATTCCTGCGCTCTAGATTTCAGAATTCCTGGTTCATTAAAAAGGAAAATTCTCAGATTATATTGCCCTCTGTGCTCCACAATGAGCACTTTAATGTGAAAGCAAACACTGGAACCTCATATGGATATTTTTGCCAAGAGCCAGAGCTCACTTAAAGGGTTTCTTACATGGCTGGTGGGAAACAGTTCTAGGACCTACTATTCTCCCAGCCATCGTGTGGCATATTGCATATGCATATTGCTACAGGACTAAAAGTATGAAAGAAGGTTTTCTATTTATTGAAGTTACACCCCCTAATGTATGTTCCTTTTTAATGCCAACACTTTGCAGTTTATCATACACTTGTGATAAAATGTTCCCTGTGGGCAAACTATCGGCAGATTTCCCATATAACCTAATTACTACTAACCACAGAAAACTGCATTCTTTGTGCTTTGAGTAGGTAGCTGTGTCAGCATACTCTACATAGGCTGCAAAGGGACAGGTAAAATTTCATTCCATGCAGAAGGGAAAAGAACAGAGACACATTTCAGCTGTGGAGCCTTCTCCAGATGTTTAGACTTTTTTCTTTTCAGCACTGAATACACCTTGTTTCTTTACACTTTGAGGAGTTGATCCAAGATTCGAAAAATGACCATGTAGATGACCAAAAGTTGTTGTACAATGCCAAGTGAACTGGTTTACCTCTCTCTAGGCATCTGGTGGTTGGGGTTGTGGAGGCAGCGAATGCTCAGGCCAAACAGTTTGCGTGCTGTGCGCTGCATCTTCAGCTTTTGGGCCTCCAGGGAGCTCTGCAGGAGCCTATAGCGCGCCTGTAGGTCCCAGTCATTCCCCCACAGCAAGTGAATACTGCTCACTGGTAAGAAGTGAGTTGAAGGCAGTCGTCGAAGAAAAGATTTAAATTCATCTAGGAGAACAGGAAAAATAACAATTTGTGAAATCTCTACATACCGTCTTTAGCCCCCTGCTACTCACATCTCCTTTCTGCACGTATAAAATAATACTGTAAAAAGTGTACCAAAGGTGTGTCTATTGCCCGGCTAGCCTTCGATGGCAACTTTACTGCTTTTATAAGTATTTCAGTACCCTTGAAAATTGAACTCATTTAGTAGGTCTCTGTTTGATACAGACTTTTCCTTTTATTTCAAAGGAATTTTAATAATGTATAATGTGCTGCACAAAAGCTGTACATGGCACCATTTGTCATCAGAACCATTTAGTTTATTATTTTGTAGAAAACTTATGAAAATAAGTCAAATGCTGCGGTATGTGTTCTTCATTACCTCTCAGAAGAGCAATTTGACAAGCTACAGTGTGTAACTGACATGGTTGTCACACCTAAATAATTAACTTGATTATCAATTTTCCTACATGACTTGTGCTTTCTGGTTCATATTTCACTGTAGATTTTAGGCAAGGTAATCCATTCAAGTAATTGTTTCAAAAGCTATGCTTGTAATAAGACCTGGCCTCCCTTAACCACTTTGTCTTTTGCAGTTCTACGTTCAGTTACATCTAGTATTTTTAATGTTTTGAGACTTGCATAAATTGTCAAAGTACTAATGCAGTTTATATTTTCATCAATTCCAGAGGCATTTTCTGTGAGGAGTAAAACCTTGTACCTTTGTTTAAGCAGCTCCTCACACCAACTATAACTGTTTTATCCCTCATCATATTTTAAATGGTTTCTACTTCTGCCCTATGATTTTACAAATATTCTACTTCTTGCATGGTGCAGTAGCTCTGGTTTTCAGATTTACGTGATAGCATTCCACTTTGTAAAACCCAACCATATAAGTGAAGCTCAAGTTTGGCTAAACTGCTAATGATCCATTTTTGCTGAATATTCTAAAAAACAAATTACATTAAATTATCTTGGGAAGACAGATCTTAAAAGTTAATAACATTGAGTGCACTTTTCAAAAGATGGACCCTATATGAATGGAAAATCAGAGCACTTGTAATGATCCCAAGTGTTAAGGATGTTGCATTTTTAAAAACGTCATCCAACTTAGTTTCCTTCTGCAGTTTATCCTTATCAACAATAACACATTTGCTGAAAAAGTATTTTCTTTTCTCCTGATCTTAGCTATTTAAATGGCTGAGCTCGCATCAAGTAGAAAGTCTTAAGCCACTGCCATATTGCAAGCTCTTACCCCAAACACATGCCATATGCTTCTTTGCTGTGTAGTCAATTTTAAGATTTACTGTCCTCTCAGCGAGGAATTGCTTATATTACCTGAATTTTCAAAGTCCTTGTAGGATGTTGCCCATGTTTCAGCCATGGCTGCTAAAGTGTTCTCCATGATTTGAATGTCGGTGATCGGACAGTTGCACTGTGGGAACTCCTCAGCACACTGGCAGATGCACTGGCTGTTACGACACACGTATTCGCCCTCTCCATTGCACATGATGTAGCTCAGGGCCGACTGCACAAACCTTTCCTGGAGGTACTCGGGGAAGATGACCTGTAGACCTGGAGAGAAAAAATAAATTGCCATCCATTCTCTTTGGAGACAGAAGAACATCAGAACCCATAAATATAAAGTAGAAGTCAGAAGGTTGACAATTCTGAAGCAACATTTGTCAGGCTATAGTGTAGAGTAGTGGTTAAAGTTCAGGACTCCCAGCAGTCCGTTTGAGGGTTTTAATCCAGTGTGGGTTGCTGCTGATGTAACCCTTGAGCAGGAAGTGTTGTAAAAATGCACTACCAACTGCTCTGTTCTGTATTAAGGTTTTCATTTATTATGAGAATTTATTCTGAATGGACTTTTCTGGTTGAGCAAAGGATTAAAAAGAAACTAAGATTTTGTTCATCTTTTCATCTTTAAATACTGAAAAAAACCCACTTAAATAGAAAATAGACCAAGTATATTTGGTCTAATAATAATTCACTGTGTAATCCTGTTGCCGTGCAGATTGACAAGAAACAAGAATGTAGATTTGATCCTTTCTGGGCAGAGGAGGTTGCATTTTGAAAATGTTTTTTTTTTTCCAGTAGACTGTCTGAACTACTCATCACAGCTATTTATTTGAACTTGACACATTCTTTAGCAACAAAGCGAAAGTATTGGAACAGGAAGCTGAGAAGTTTCCTAACAGTATCACTGACAACTACAAAGCTCAAAATGAAGATGTTTTTTTTCTTACCTTGGAATTCTTCTATTTTAAGTCCTAAATATAAATTCTTTTACACTTGTAAAATTATAAAACGATTTCTTTCAGTTTGAGATAAACGTCTTTTGATGTGGGATGAGGGTGCATTTAAGTTTTAGTAAGTTAAAGACATTCCCAAATATTCTTGGGCTTCATTCAAATCCAGATCTCTGTTTGATGCACTGAAAAGGCTTTGTAACTGCAGGGCCCAGCATAACCTGGCAGAAACATAATGAATGCCTTCTATTACTGGCACAACTTCTGTGTCTTGTTCCAATAATTTAATCTTAGTTTGCAATTTTATGGCTACAATCAAAATAACATCACATGAAATAAAATATAACTTTGATAATAATGAGCTGCCACATATTTGCTGCATGTTTCTACATACTCTTCTATATAGGTAGACAATCTCATGGAACATACTGTATATTGATTGATTTATGATGTTGACAATTAACGAGCAGATAACTGGGAGGCAAGCTTTCAACGGAGAGGTTGGGATGGGATCTAGGCAAAAATATTAAAACACATGACAATGAAATATCACCAACCCACTACTGGACAGTGACCTCCAGTGAGGTTAAAGAGAGAAGCCTCTTGCTTAATATATTTACAGTAAGTTGTGATTGGCAGCAGATCAAAATTTTAACCCAGGCTTATGTTCATATATGCATTAAATGATCGAGTAAGTACCATCATTAATGGTGTGGAATTCCACATTCAGCATATATTGTAAATAAATATTTGTATCTCTAAAGCTTGCTGTATTAGTTTTTTGTAGTTTCTGGAAGATAATTGAGGTTTTAAAGGAACAAACAACAAACACTGAAGAGACATTTATCAAAAGATTGTAATGGTTTCCTTTACATGTCTTGAGTCCCTAAATTAGCATCTGGGGGTTATTAATCTTTTAATTCCAGAACATGGCCCATATACTTTGATTTCTTCCACTATCTTTAACCACCTTTAACCACAAAATCACAATTTAATCGTTGTTTACCTTACATTACTTGAATGGGGCATTAAATGAAAATGAGGAATTACTTCCCCTCATAACAAATTTGGACATCTAGCACTGAAACTTTAATCTTCTGTCAAGCCTGCTTGGTGTTATTTGAAGTAAACAGACATAAAAAAACAAAGAGTATATACCAATATACAGTACTCTTTGGGTGGAACAATGGCCCTGTGGCTGGAAGATTGCCAGTTCAAATCCCACGGCCTGCAGAAAAATCCTACTCTGTTGGGCCCCTGAGCAAGGCCTTTAACTCCCACTGCTCCAGGGGTGCTGTATAATGGCTGACCCTGCGCTCTGACCCCAAGCTTCCCTGCCTGTCTGTGTCTCATAGAGAACAAGCTGGGGTATGCGAAAAAGATGAATTCCTAATGCAAGAAATTGTATATGGCTAATAAAGTAATCTTATCTTATCTAAATCCCAAAATTAAGTCTTATTTATATGCATTTGATATATATGTTTTTTTTACATTTTCCACATTATACCATTATCCAATGTTTTTTGCACATGCTTATGGGAAGTATGAACATTTTAGCAAAGAAGACTGAAGACTAGTGTGGGTCATGTGGGCTCTCCCAAAATCCACCTGTTACCAAACCGCAGTACAACAGTGAACATCACCTTCCCTTCAAACACAGCCCCAATGTTTAAAATGAATCGTTTCAATCTTGTCTTATTGAGCCCATACCCGGCACTAATTATTTGTGTGGCATGAGTGGGGAAGCGTGACTTAAAGATTGAAATCTCCAAGTCCTTGGGAGCAACAAAACAATTAAACCTACAAATTGATTATGGTCTATATGTGTGGTATTTTGGTTGGTGCAGAGATGGAAATTGCTTATGATTTGTGCTTGCCAAACTATGCTAAGCATGTGACAGGATTTTGTTACCTGTCAATAGAATATTTGTTTGTACAATTTAAATTTGAGAAAAAAAACATACTCCCCCCATGATAGATCTGTAGAATTTCCAGGGGGCCTTGAGGAGACAAGCAATTAGTCTAAAACCAGTAACAGTCAAAGGAATCAATACTGCATTGCCAGGACAGTGTCAGACCCTGATTCCAGCTAATTCTTTGGTTTTCTAGGTTAATTAGAGCAGTAAAATCTAATGAATTAAGGTTCCTCTTTGACATCACAAAGGCAAAGCATATGATGTCTACAGACTCTGATAAAGATTGTGATTATGGGGGGAAAGCAGAAAACAATTTTGGTATAACCTGTGAGGTACTTTCAGGAAACATTATTGAAGATCGGAGATTGCACTAATTTTCCTGGTAAGCCAGGGATACAGCATTTTTCCTCATTGAACATAAGCTGGGGCTTTTTTAATTGGCAGAAAATGAATACAAAGGACAGTTATTTTCCTTTACGTTCCTGGACGTAACATACTAATGAGAAATACAAAAGCAAGGACTTGATTGATGTTTGATACAGGGGTATGGTTTTGGACTGTGGCAGAAAACCAGAGCACCCAGAGAAATGTCACGCAATGATCAGGCTGTAAAACTGTAATAGAAGAAAGCAATCATGAAAGGAATTACTTCAACACAATCTGCATTTATATAACACCAGTGTGTTTAAAACTACAAGGCCAGCAAAAATCAACAAAAATGTGACAACAGATAAGTGGAAATATTGGTAAAAAGAAGTTGTCAGCAGTATGGTTGTTAAATTACAAAACTAAAACCCTGATCAATAAAACAAAAGAATGTCTGGAACCAAAGCTCAGCAAATACTTGAATCCCATGGCAGCTGTCAACGCCCTGCTCAAGGTAAAATGAAAATTGCTGATTTACAGGGCTGCGTATTCTGCAAAGAAAAGTACACTTGATTGACCACTTCCAATTTAATGTGAAACCTTCCAGTCTACGGGAATCTTCATCAGCCTTCTCTTGCTATTGCATATGCAGTGATAATACAAAAAAAATAAAATGAAAATAAAAGCTACAAGCTATACAGAGGTTCAATAAAAGAAAATACTGTTCTGATGGCACAAGGATAGAACAATCACATACAGTACTGTACATGAAGGAGCAGTGTGTGTCTGTGTTTATGTAAAGATGTCATTATTAGTGTCCTTAACTTTGTTAAAAACCCAATCTCACACTTTGTTTGCTCTTATGTAAATTAAATATTTCTCAGTGGCAATTTAAGCAAAGTGAAACCTAAAACAGGGCAAAGGGCCGCTGAGAAAAGCTCCAGAAATGTGACTTACCAGAGCTCCTACAGACCTATAGACCCTAGGAAAACAGGAAACCTGTCATGTTCTCTACATTGTGTCCAACTGGCCATTAGGGATGTGTGAAAACTGTGGAGATAATGCCTTATGACAAGACTGAGGTGAGCAGGTGGGAGTTCTCTGCGTTGCACTAACACTTTCCATGCCAGGTCAGTATTTTCTGTATATTTGCGTTTACTTCACAGAACTCTGGGGAGCTAAAGGATTAGGCCCTTTTGCCAGTTTGATGTTCACATGCATTCATCCCATCTAATTTGATTAATATCCCATCCATCCATTTTCAAACTGCTTCTTCCAATTCAGGCTCACAGAGAAGTAACGGGCACAAGGCACACATACTGTACACTCACACCTAGGACCAGATTTTCCATAAGCCAATTAGCCTACCAGTATGGAAGATATGGTTCTAGACTGTGGGAGGATGTCAGAGCATCCTGAAGAAATATTTGAAACATGGGAAGACTATTCAAACTCCACACAGATGGCACTCCAGGTCTGGAAGTGAACCAAGGATACCAGCTTTGGGAGTCAGAAATGATAACCACCGGGCCACAGTGCCACCCTGACTGAGATACCATTCATCGGAAATATGTTTTTCTATTTTCTAAGAAAGGACACCCATCAGCTGTCAGGTTGTTTTTTAAACTTACAAGATCCATTGTAGTCTACAATATGTAAAGATCCAGTGTTATCTGAAGCATATGAATTTTAAGCCATGGTTCATTGAGGAAAAAAAATTAAGAAATGATGAACAGCTAATCCATCAAGCTATGAATGAATTGCTTGTGGCTTAATTCATTTATTTTCACTTCTCGACTTTAAAAACTGTTGGCTCAGACTGTCCTAACATATTCATAAATCTTGTTAGATCGGCTGGTGCCTCCCGGAAAAGCAAATTACTTTGCTTTTGTTTTCTTGCTAATTTATGACCGTCATACCGTAGGTAATTGTGACTGAGGAAATAGGATGCCACTGTAAGTAAGAGTCAGGCTTTTTTCTGGATGATCCAGCTTCTGGCTAGAAGATTTATTACAGAAATTACATAAAAAAATTAATATTC